TTTGCCCTTTTGACTAGCAGGCTTCCTGCAATCAGTCGCCCTATGCCCTTGTTCACCACAACGAAAACATCTAATAGTAGGGTTAGAATTACCCTGCGGTGGCTGCTGAGCAGGACGGGACTCTTGAGGGCGAACTGGTCGACTGTTGTGATCGCTCCTGATCACTGGTCTCCTGTTTTGCTGTTTTTCAACAGCAAGTGCACGCTGGTATGCTTCCGAAACACTCCACAATGAATGAAGGCTGAGGACATCTTGCAAGGGCTGGCGTAAACCCCCCAAATATCGCGCCACCATCTGCTCCTCCGTCTCAGATAAATCGTTCCGGGCGACCAATTGGTAAAACTCCTCCGTGTAATCATCGACTGATCGCGCGCCCTGCCTCAACGCATGAAGTCGCTGAAATAAGGTTTGCGTGTAGCCGAAGGGAAGGAAGTGGCCCTTCATCTTCTTTTTCATCTTCTCCCAATCAGTGATCTTGGCTTTGCCCTGTCTTTCTCGTGAACGTCGTAACTGTTCCCACCACGCAGATGCTCTGCCCTTGAGTTTGATGGCGATCAGTTTCACTTTCACACGATCGGGGACTTCCTTATATTCAAAAATACGCTCCACTTCATTAATCCAATCCACGAATCCCTCGGCCTGTAATGTACCAGAAAACTCAGGGAGATCGACCCGAAAACCGAGGTCTCCATGACGCTCCTCCCGACCACGGTGCTCCCGGAATCCTGCGCCCCGGAATCCTGCGCGATTGTGATATGGGTTTTCGAAAGTGGAATTTGTATCGTGATCAGAGGCCTCACGATCCTCTAAATCCTGCGCCGCTAGGCGCTGGGTTAATTCTGCGACTTGCCTCTGCAAATCCGCAATCATCACATCCTGAACGCTGCGATCACGGCGTTGGGCTTCCTCATTCGGAACCTGCTCACGACGACCACGACCACGACCTCCAGCCATTGAAACTGGTGAAATTTCCCAAGAAGATGTTGAAGCTCTGACACCAACTGACGCCAGACAGAATAGTGATTATCCTGTAGGCTAGCTCCGACAGACGATTCACAAGAGAAAATTCGCCCAAAAACCAGAGAAAAAAAAGTCTCTAGGGTTTAATAAAATATTATAAAATCAATAACTGTCAAAAGCAGTCCACAAGCCGGACTGTTATAGCTAAAAAAATCGTCTTTATTCGAATTTTGCCAAAAATAGCAAAAATCGTATTTATTCGAATTTTGCCAAAAATAGCAAAATCCCGAAAATCACTCTAAATTGAAATTCGAAATAAAATAAGCAATCTCCCAAAAATCCGGTCTAAATCGGATTTAAATTGACTTCCTAATTAACAATCGAAATATTACCATAAATAGTAAAAAATAACTAAATCTAGTGATTCGGAGGGGAAAACGGCAGAATTTGAGGTTGAAAAAAAGGCCACATGGAGCGTAGCTCAATGTGGAGAGCGTGCGCGTCGAAAAGAGCTTTCCGGATTGGGGTCTTATGCGCGATTCTGACACCTGTAGCCAAAGTTATGGCCAAAAGACTGAAACATACTCAAAACGACCCCAATAAGGAACATGTCACAATCAATTCCCGCCTTTGCGCTGATCTGCCAACTCATGGTATCTCAGCGCCATCAACGTGCAATCTGACAGCTCAGCATCATCTGTCTCAGATCCCCCTGCATCAGTGACAATTGGTGCCGCAATCGATCGTCCGACGTTTGAAACCACCACAAGAGTTACCAGAGAGACGTGGATCAAGCTTTTGGGCTGTATAAGCAACCAGGGACTTACCGTGCGAGGCAAGGTAGTGAAACCGGTGCTGAAAGAGAAATTCAAGATGTTCAACGCCATGTTAGATGAAATACACCGGACACAGAGCACGTGGGTGGTGTACGACAAGCAACTTCAATCGGAGCTGAGAGTGTCGATAGTGTCGGTGGTGATTCCGGCTTACCAGAAGATACTCTGGCTACTTGGATCCTGGAAGACAAGCAGAGAAGTACATCAAGTACAAGCCTGAGGATATAGAGACTTACATTGATGAACTGTCCGATGGGAGAAAGTAATTAATTTCAACAATTCAGGTTAATGAAATTAAATTATTTTTAGCCTTCACCTTTTGTACGAATAATTGGTTGGCTAGTTTTTCTTTTTTCTTTTTATGTGTTGTTGATTTAGAGGGTAAACTAAGCTGTTTGCCTTGGATGGTTTGAACTAAAATGTGCCTTCATAGTAAAGAAACATGCACCCATATTTCTTGTCTATTTAACACACAAACGATTTTAGTGATTAAGAAATTTATTGTTATTCCTAGAAGTGACATATTAGAGATTCAAATTTGAACAAATATAAATATTAAATGTGTATGCGTACTCGTAATTAAGTACCATATATCACAATTTAATTAGTCGTTTAAATATTGGGTTAACTATAGGGAGGATCATTTGTATTTTTGTTTTGTCCACTTTTAGTCATTGATTTCAAAAAACATAAGATATGGTCACTTTCGTTTCTGTTTAATTAAGATGTGGTTACTTTCGTTTTTATTTAATTAAGATGTGATCATCACGAGTTAATTATTGTTAACAATTAATAGAATATGTGACGTGATAGTTGGTATAATCACACATTCGGTCATTGTTATTTACAAATTCTCTCAATTTAGTCATACTTTTAAATGAATTTTAACATAAAATATATATTTTTAAATAAAAATAACATATCTTTAATTTAAGTTAATAATAAAATATATTTAATAAGTTAATATAAAATGTTTTTTAAGTTAATATATAAAAAAATATTATGAATTTAAGTATTTAAAAGTTAATATAAAATGTTTTTTAAGTTAATAAATAGAGCATTTCGTCATTGTAAAGTTCATCAATGCTGGACTTGTCCTCTATCTCAGCGAATTCCCGATGCAGGTACTCGATCTCCGGAGGGATTCGTGCTTTCAGAATTGTTCTATCGGAGAATGGAGGAACGGTTAGCGGCAAACCTCGGGCTGTTTCGCCCCATGAATTGACAAACTCCATAGCACCAATGCCATCAAACATGCAATGGTTCATGCACAAGCCAAGCACAAATCCCCCGCATTGAAATTTGGTCACCTGGACCAACGATTCAAATATATATTGGGAATAATTCAATGTTGCATGAGAGCAAAGTTCAATACATTGGACTCGTAATTAAACATACCTGAGCCACTAGAAGTGGCATCTCTATTATGCTATTAGCACCAGGAATGTCATAAACCAGCTTCCTAAGAGTCTCGGGTTCAGGCTTTGTTATGTCACCAATCTCCTCCATCTTACAATTCGCTTCGGCTTCGAACAAATACCGCCCCTTCTCCGGTGCAGTCTACGATCAGTTTACCCTCCGAACTGATTGTTAGCCGTACGGCAAGTGGATGGTAATGAGAAAGAACCTTTCTCAAGGCATCCTTGATCACTTGAGCAGCATTCTCATTCCCCTTCTCTTCCGACTTGAAGCAATAAATGGTCCGAACAATCACGGAAATGTTTTGGTCGAGATTCGACAGAAAGTACAGACCCTTTTCGGCCTCTTCAGCCGGAGAAACCAGTGTCGGCTCGCCTTGCTTCACGCTAAGACGAGACACTTGGCCATTGGACTTGTCCATTATAACACAACCTTCAATAGTTTCGGCACCCTAAATCATAAAAACCAAGAAATTATCAGACCATAAACATTTAAAAACCTGAGAAACAAAACCAACACCATAGCCAATGCATATGAATGAAGAATCTGTTCATTTCTGAGGAAACAAACCATGTGAAAAAAGCTGAAAGAACTATAGAGAATTGTTGCAGTAACAAAGGATTGCTTGCAGCAGCTGGATGTTGGTCACAAACTTGCGACTGTGTAATTGAACTTGTCAGATATTTATAAGGGCCTGAAGCGAAAACGACATTAGAGGGCATGTAGCCATGTTTGATTGGAGTTGGCAGAGGCTGGAAATTAGTAGGATATCCTGAAAATGAATGTTTCTGGGAAGGAAGAAGATTTGATATTCGGTGCGTATGGGTTGGGGTTGGCGACTGGTCTAGGGGCATGCTTGGTATTTGGTTGGTGGGGTTGGCATCCCAATTTTTATTCATTTTCCATATATTTCCTACTTGCTTGCTTTTTAATTACTCAAAATTTGCTTTTTTCAAACTCTCGAAAACAAAAGAAAATCATTAATTTAAGAATAATAATTATACAATTAACTTTTTAATCCAATTTACTTCTTTCATAACATAAAAATTAAAATGGATATTATTTAATATATTCAATACCTCATTTTATTAAATTAGTTGAGAGTATTTTAAATTCTATTTATGTTCGAGTTAAACAACTTAAAGTTGTTAATTTTTTAAGTTGAATTTAAATTAGAAGGATTAAACTTTTTAATTCAATTCAAAATTAATTAAACCTAAAATCTATTATCAACTAGAATAAAAAAAAATATATCTTTTTGCATTACATCATAAGATTAATTGACAAATCAAATAAATAGACTCTCATCCAAAATACTAGGGCTTCAAAATGTCATTAAAAACAATAATATACATTATCTTGAGGGATTAGTTTTAGGTTAACTACTTCCATAGAATTTTTGGATCACCAACAAACCTAAAGTTTGAAAAATAAAGCAACAAAGTTTCGATTGAAGTTATAAAATTATTGTTCGCTGGTACCATAGAGAATCTACATATTTGAGAGCGTTGATAGTTTATTGGCTAACATTTTTCATCTAAAAGGAGACCTTTTAGTCGTAAAACAAAATATTAATCGTCAAAATACTCTAAAAAATAAAGATCAAAGTGACTATTTAATCAAATATTATGAGACATTGTTATCATTATACCATTTGGATATAGATACCGTGAATTTTGAATTAAATAATATCAAAATTTGAATGCTACAATACACATATACGGTGCAAGATAATGTATATTGTTGTATTGTAGCCATCAATTATCAATTCAATTTACCGATCAAGTCCCCAAACTTGAGCTAAAGAAGCCGAAGATGTGCAGTATCATTCAACGATTTTATCTGCCAGCCAGTTTTCCACGAATGCTGCAGCACGGTCACAGAAGAGTCTTCTACGCAGATCTTATTCGACATTACGGGGCTGCACCCGAGGATGCCAGTGACGAGGCATTTAATCGGCAGCGAATGAGTGAAAACGCCGACACAAGAGGAGGCCGAGGAGGTGTTGGTGGAGGGGAAAGAGGAATTCATGACGTTTATGTCATGAAGTCTGGGGTGATTGTTGGACACCTTTGGAGACATTTCGTCATCGGCATCGTGTTCCACGATGTTCGACACGGTCTTTAGCCGGCTCTTACCGGACTTCTTCTTCGGTTGCCTGTGAACCGAGGTGTTTACACCACGGGTGGTGGTGTTGTGGTTTGTGAACCCTCGGGTCTCGTTTTGGCGTAAGAAACAATCAGACCTCAACTTCTCAGGAAGACAGAGGAGTTTCCCGTTCAAGAATTGAACCATTCGGAATTCGAGTTGCCGGAGAGACTCGCCGGAAGGTGCAGCGAAATCGGGTTGGTATCTTTCCATTAGGCTCAGGACATCAGGTGTGTATATTTCCGATCGGAGGCGTCCCTCCCAGTGCCCCATATCCAGATCCATAAGTACATCAGATGATTGTATATGCGCCTCTGCGAAATTCATCTCCTGCATGATTTTAAAGGATAGGAAAAAGTAAGTATATATACGAGGGAAAATACATGAATCTCACCTTATATCATCAGGACGGAATTAAGATCAAATATCAGAATTCATACATTATTTTATATAATTACCTTTAACATAAAATCCTGCGTTTGACTTTGGTCGTACCAGGATCATATCAACGATATCATATACTACCTTATTCAACTAACAATTAAAGCTGGAAAATTTCTTTCCAGTTAACAACTCCATGCCCCATTCATATATCAATTTCCCTAGTTCTTTTAAGAAGATTGAATAAAAATAAGAGAGGGGTTTACCTTACAAACATAAAGAGCCATGGATCTAGCCCGATCCAACGAGGAGCAATAGACGGCATTAAACCTGACCCCTTGGGAATTTAAGAACACGGCCAACGCCCTGGCTTGGCGTTTCCCGTTTGAGGTCAAGGCGGCAGCGTCGTATCTACTGCCCACGACATCAGGCCTCAAATTCAACTCACACTCGCCGTGGCTTATCAGGTAAACCTCGATCACCATCCGATCATCACTCGAGGAGGGGCCGCGCGTGAGAACCGGAGGAGGCGGCGGGGCTAACGCATTGTCAGAGTCCCAGGCTTTGGCCGAAGGATCCGTCGTGGGAGCGCCGAATGAAGATCGCTGGGGAGAAAGCGGGGATGCCGCCGATGCATGGCAGGGCGAGATTTCGGGTTCTTGTTCCAGCACTTTCTTGACCAAGAGATTGTTTTGGAGTTTTCCGGCGATGGGTCTTTCTTCATTTTCTTCTTCTTCTTCTACCTCGTCGTATTCGTCTTGGCTTTCTTCTTGTTCGACTACATGTTGGGATTCGGTGGAGCCCATTCTCGAGTTGGTTGTAATGATTTGAGAGATGGAAAGAAGAAGATGAAATGGAGGGTGTTCTGTGGGGACGAGACAAATGTACTTCGGTTTGGGCATGCTGCATGAATACATTAAAATTTTAGGGTAAATTATGCGTTTAGTACTTAAATTATTAATTTTGATCTTTCTAGTACCTAAACTTCTATTTTTTTAAAATCATACCTAAAGTTTAATTTTTGTTTCATTTCAGTTCCCCGTTCAAAATTTAATGTTAAGTTTTGAAAATAATTGAAAGTTTAGTTATTTAAATGGACCAAAACTGATAGTTTAGGTACTGAACGAGTTAAGTTTTAACGGTGATGTGCTAAAATGAAATAAAAAATAAATGTTAGATATGGATTTAAAAAAAAATTAAATACTAAAACGAATCAAAACTGATAGTTTAGGTACTAAATGCATAATTTACCCTAAAAATCAAAAAGTTAAATGTATGTTTTCCTATTAGTCCCTGTATTATGTGTAAATTATGAATGTAATCATTGTTATATTTTAATTTGACCATTCTCAATCTTTAAACTTTCTGATCATGACTCAAACGATAACCACTATATATGTTAAGTAAAATTTTATTATTTGACTTCGTATGATGAGAATCATACATTTAGTTAAAGATTTTTTAGAGCTGATAAAACATTTATAAGCCTGAAACCTAGTTTGTATCAATCCAAGCTCTAATCATTCAGGTTACAGAACATTTAAGGCTTAATACAAAAATAATTACTTAAACTATGTTTCGAAAAATGTTTTAGTGCCTAAAGAAATTTTTGTTAAAAAAGTATGTCTAACATTTTCTTAGTTATACTTTTAGATACCTATTGTTGTTTTTTTTATAATAAAATATTATTTTTAAAATTAAAAAAAAAAACTTAATTTATTTATAAAACACCCAAAATTTTAGTGAAATTATAAAAAAACTCTAAAAACTAAAATTTCTTATTTCAATCCTCATTATCAGCCGTCGCCGACCATCTTCAGTAATCAACATTTAATCACCGAATGCTCACCCACCCATCGTCGCTCACCAATTGATCAATCGTTGCCCTTACTGTCAGCCAAATCCCCTAAATCTCTAAAATCATCGGTATCCAATTCACTAATCTTTTAAAATCCTAATCTCAACGATGGAACGACGGAAGAGCAGCAACGGAGTGACAACGAGGAGCACGACCACTTGGGTTTTGATCGGAATTGCACAGTAGTTCGAATAGTGGTGCCAGTGTGGCTTATGAACATAAGGATCGGACAGAATCAACGAAGAACACCAATGGTGGCTTAAAATCTGACGAACCTTTGAACGCTACTCCATGAAAAAATGTGGCAGATTACGATGAAAGGCCAACAGGAGTTTGATCAAGGGTCGACATTGGTGTTAATGAAGGTGATAGCTACGGTCACAGTTGACCGACGACTATGAAAAGGGAAGGGAAAGGGGGGACAAGGGGAGGGGAGCACGGGCACGGACTGTTCGTATTAGGGTTTTTATAATGCACTGACTTTTCAACGCTTTGACTCTTTGAAAATCCGACTAAAATTTAACATTCAAAATAAATACTGAATATTTGACATATCAGAGCATTTGCTATTTACACATTTATAGTACATGCCAACAAATTTCAAATAATGATATCACATATTCAAAACATTCTGATATGATATTCTTCCAAGAGATGTTGTTCTGCCCTTGCTTACTCTGCTGCCTTCCGTGAACCTACGTGTAAAAACAATCACACGCTAAGTCTTGGACTTAGTGAGACATAAATGAGAATAATACAACAATAAAACATTTATGTAAATATTTTCAGGAGAAGCATTTAATACAAAAACACAATATCTTTAATCACATATAACATATACTTTTAAGCATTGTTTAATTCATATCTATTTGTTTAATTAGTCCAACGTATATCACTGAGAACTCAAGGTATGTGAGTACATTGAGGTTGTGCACAATAATTGCAGTCGAAATTGCTGCGTAGAATTTGCACCGAAGTGCCAAATAGATTTGTCTCGAAGGACCGCGTAGAATTTATCCCGAATGACCACATAGAATTATCATGAAGGACCGCGTAGAACCCTCGATATTTGGCATGTCAACTATACCTCTAATTCTCATAACATATACTTTGGTCTTTAACCATATAATTATTTCACATTACATTATTCAAAGTATCATTTACTCACATAAAACATGTACTCATAGTATTTCACGTAGAATTACACAAATTTATTATTTATTCACATAGAACAATTACTCATAGCATTTCATATAGCATTATTCAACTTATCATTTATTCTCATAGATCATATTCACATAAATCATATACTTATAGTATTTCACCTAGGATATATATACTCATAGCAATGAAATCAAAATAGTGCTTTTTAAAATACAATTTAGCTAAAACCGCCACATAATATTAATCATTTTGTTCAAAAACATTTGAGGTTGGCTCATCACAAGCCGTCATCAAATCGTATATAAAATAAGTAGCATACCCTTATAGTATCGGTATTGTTCTTCTAGTACCGATACCCTTACCCATAATTCATTTATTTTAATTCGAATTTTACCCAAAATTCACTTAAATCTCTTACTATTAACTCCATTTATGCCTTTAAACTCATTTACACTTATTCCAACAAACTTACATCAATTAAAACCCCTTTAACATCTGAAATTCTCCATAGAATACTTAAAACAAAGAATCACACCCATTCTTAAAACATGTTCTCAATCCTTTCTAATACTTCAAACACCTTAATTAGACATTTGACAAGTCAAATATATCTTTAAAAATCCAAATACTAATCAATCTCCTCAAATCCCTTAAAAACTCATTTCACCAAATCACAATTAAATCCTTAATCCCTTAGTTTCTACTCATCTTTAAGCTTTCTTAAGGTTCTATATCACCCAAGAACTCAAAACCAAATCAAAAATAAAAGAAACAACCAACTTTAAACTCACTTTAACCATGGAGTTCACGGTGGAAAAGGAAGAAGAGAAGATGAAGAGAATTCTAGGCCTTTCTTTTTCTTTTTTCCCTTTTTCCTTACATGCTTAAATAATCTTACAAATGAATTTTAAATTCATTTCATGACAAAAGACCATTTTACCCTTCGATCCTTCAATCGTTGACAATAGGTCCTAGACAAAAAATTCCAAATAAGTCCTTGAATTTCTCAATTTATCAAAATTAAACCACTAAATTTTAAATTCTTATACTTTAGTCACTAGCCCAATGTTTGGGATATTATAGTTTTTAATAAAAATTAACATTTTTTTAATTTTTTAAATAAATTATCAAAATTAACAAAACGTGACACATGTCACTTAACATAGATTTTTAATGACGGTTAAAGCCCAACCACCTAAAAGTTTAACATTGGAAACATTAGACACCTATTTTTAACGAAAACTTATTTAGACACTAAAACATTTTCCTATATATAGTTTGAGCACTTATTTTTATATTAAGCCAAAATATTAATTTCAATTTAAAAGTGAAACTCATAATGATTTAAAACTAAGACTAGAGTTGTTTAAGGGTAGAGTTATTTTTTCTAAAATTTGTAAGGCTTTAGATACAAATACTTCTCGATTATAAATAGTTATTCTGTTGAGTTCATTGACTATTAAAAATTATAAAATTGTTCATGACTATAACGTATTATATTGTTGAATCCATCGACTATTAAAATAATAAAATGGTCACTTGATTATTCTTATGTTCTAAACTCGTTCTCTTCTATTAAAAATTGATGGTCGTCTGAACTGGATGTTAATATGTTGATCGATGTATGATAAAATTATATTTTAATGACTTCTATCAACATTTTCGTTGCTTTCAAACACAACATAATGTTTCAAGCACTAGTTTGATGATATAATATAAACAAAGACTAATCCAGAAAATATAGCTCAAACAGTTCTGTGATTAGATTTTATCATATCTCAGTAAGTAGGTTAACGTCCAACTGCCAATTTTTAACAAAAAAATGATAAGTTTGAAACATATGAATAGTCCAGACTTTTGATAGTCGGAACTTGGAAGACTCAACAAAATAGTGTCTTCTGGTCAATAGACAATTTTATAACTTTCAATAGTCGAACTCAATAAAGCAACATCTTATAATCGAGATATTAAAAATGAGTTATATATATTTTTTAATTTAATAAACTTAATTTTATATATATATATATATATTGATATTTGAAAAATAAAAAAAATAACGAATTTAAAAGTATTTAAAAATATAAATATAAATTGCTGCAATACTAGTAATACAACAAACAAATAAATAAAAGCTTTTGTAAAACTCAGCGTTCCTTGGCTGTGCAAAAGTTTCAGTATCTCTTTCCTTTTCACTGCGCTGCTCAAATATTTTGTCTTCTTCGCGGGGTGTTGGTTTTCAGGTATCGCATCTTCTCTTTCTTCATTCAAAACCCATTTTTTCCCTTTCCTTGGTCATATTTTAACTCTCTTTTGATGCATTTTCTTATGATTTGGATTAAAGTTTGATACTTTTGTATACCCTTTTGTTCTTTGTGCTGAATTAGTTTTCGGTGTTTATCTGGAAGTGAAGCAACGTTGGTTACACTCGTCTTTTAATAGGATGTTCATTCTTGTTCATATGCCTGAAATTTTATGCCTTTCTTTGTTCTCATTTTTTTCCTGGGCTTGGGATTAACGATAGTGATAAAAAAAACCAATGGTTTTACGGGATTTGTATTTCTTTTATAATGTTTTTCAACTTTCTAAAACTCTAGAATACAAATCATTGAAGTACTGTATCCACCAATGCCAGTTGCAACTTCCTTTGGATTGTTGAAGAAAGCCTTCAGCTATCCAAAACTGGATCAATTGCTCCCTATGGATCCTAAAATTCTTAGGAAAAATGGAACAATATGCGAAGGGGGAAGACGAGCAATCAAAATTTAATCTCAGAACAAGTACAATCACTTCATTCTTTTGTAAAGAATCCCAAAGAGAACTATCCCCGAGTGACACCATTCACTTTTATTAAGTTTACTATGTCTATCTTGCACCGATCAACAAGCCTACCGCCCATTTCATTTTCTTTCTTTTATGGCTTCTTTTCATTTGAATTATTGACAACCGATAATCTAAAGTTGCAATAATAGTGTAAAGGAGGTAATTTTTTCTGTTTCTGTTTCTGCTTTTGTTTTTGTTCTCTCTCTGTGACTAAACATGCTTTAGTTTAGTTCAATGAAATTAAACAGGGTTTGTCATCTACTCTACTGCAATTTTAGGGAGTAGAAACAGATATAAGATGTTTGGGAGTATGATTCGGTACTTTTCGACGAAACCCAAACCAAAAATGAAGCCAATCGAGCTGACAACGCCGCCTGAGCAAACGCAGACCATAACCAGAGTCACCTTTGACATTCTCAAGGAGCATGGCCCCCTCACTGTCAGCGATACTTGGGAACGAGTCAGGGTCCGTTTTCTCGTAATTCATAATCACCACAAATTAAACATTCCATGCATTATTTTCTTTTAACAAATGCAGAGTTAGAAGCTGTGATGTAGGTGCATAGGTGGTGTATTAACTGTTGTATGATTGCTATGCTTTGCTGGTCTGAGTTTCGACATAATGAAGTAAAAATGGTGTATGAGTTCAGGAGGTTGGATTGAGAGGACTTACAGGCAAGAGTCATATGAAGATTGTGCTGAGATGGATGAGAGAGAGACAGAATATTAAGCTAATACGCAACCATGTGGGACCTCACAAACAATTCCTGTATACAACTTGGTTCACTAAGCCAAACATCAGGCATGCAAGAAATGTCAATACTTCCTCACCTCCAACAACTAGTTTGCCTCATAATACTTATTCAACTCCAAAGTCATCTTGAGGTTAAGTTTCATGCTCTGCAATACTTCTGGCTTAAGGACATTTACTATATAATAAATGTATGCTGTGGAAACTTTACTGTTCTGTGAAATAGAATCGGTTTATTCTCTTCTTCCAACATATTCCATTTTTCATGTTCGAATTCCATGTTCAGTTACCATTGCTTTAAGATGGTGAATGGAACCGAGACCTGGGAATTGAGAAGGGACCTAATGACAATTCCTTCATACTTGTGAGACACCCAACGCCCTCTTCTGGGAGCCTTTTCAAGTTAAATAAAATTTTCATTCCTTCGGGAACTTGTCCGTGCTCTCTGCACCTCCGTGACCGTAATGTTTAACCATGTTTAATCCCGTGTTCTATGTAATATATAGATGATAATATCAACCTACCTAAGTTGTGTAGTTTTTTCTTCTCCCCTAATCTTAATTCTTCAAAGAGGTAGAATTGAGTAATAGGGACTGGTAACTTCATATAATTTCACGAGGCATCAAATTATATCAAACGCTTTAGCTTGCCAATTGAATCTGACAATGATTTTGACTTCGTTTGGGAATGCTTCTCCAAAAGAACTTTCTAGCTCAAAGACACCATTTTTTCTAACTTCTTAATTTGAGTTAATAATCATTTTTTAAATTGATTTTTTAATCGAAAATAAGTTGTTTGGAGATGTTTATGCACTTCAAACGAAATTTTAGATAAAGAACGTTTCCATAAGCGTTCCCAAACGACTCAAATTCCGTAATTTAACATGAGAAACAAATTGTGGAAGAGTTTCCGAATGCCCTTTCTTCGATAGTGAAGTCTGGTGATGGAGCTTGTAAACACTCAATACAGGAAGAAGTTAAAACACGTAATTTAATTCTGAAACGGAAGAGCCACAGCATCAAGGATTTACATAACAAGAAATGTTGCAATGTTAGTTTTTACATGTTTATTCTTCCAATTTTCTCCTAGAGCCAGTCGGGTTAAATTCACAAAGATGAGATAGAAATAGGCTACTACACAGTGTTATTCTCTTTGTTTGGTTATGAAGGCCAAACAAAATTGAGTTGTTTCGAGTCGAGGCCAAGATATCAATAGCGTCGACCACCAGCCGTGGACAAAAGAACCCGACCTCCTTTCTTTCCTTTCTTTTCCATCTCGCTCATCTTAGGCGTCTGCAAATTTTCAGCAGCCGTTGCTCTTGATATAACATTGGCAAATGAAGCCGTGCCTGAATTTCTAGAGCCTGAACAAACACAAACAGGAGCAGGTTAGCCTAGGGAGGGTTTGAGAATTTGAGAAACAGATTTTTATAACACATCAATATCCGCAGAACTGGAGAAATAGGAGACATTGATAATATCCTTCTCTAAATATGAAGCAGAACAAACAAATACTAAATATTAGCATCAAAGCATTACCGGCTGCAGCTGGGGAATCGGTTGCCACCTCATTCTTCTGCGTACCATTTCCTTCCTCAATTTTCAATGAAGGAGAATCATGTGCAGCAGCAAAACCAAGCCTAGTAACATTTGAAAACAGTTTTCTCTCCCGGGTGATCGGGGGACTTGATGATATCACATTAGAACTTCCAAGGGCTGACATAGGAGAACACCGAACCGTAATATAAGTTTGTGTTCAAAAGGTAGCAAAGAATAGACCACCTAGAACAACTCTTACATGGCAAATTTAGAACCCACCACCTTAAATTAAAAACCACTGCACACAGTACAAGTTCCTCAAAATGTATAGTTCAAACAAGAGTGAAAACCCCAAAATAAATTGCAAGGTATATTTATAGGACAAATACAGGATATTAGTCATTAACACAATATTACCTTCAAAGTCTTCCATAGAGAATGAAGGGGAATCATTGTAAGAAGAGTGCCCGAAGCCAGATATAAAGGGCGTAAACTGCACTGCAGCAGCAACTTCAGCCTTGATTTTCTCCTTTTGTTCCTACAGATAAGAATAAAATATCTGAATCTGAAAGCACGTACAATCTCATGTTACACCTTTCTCAAAAAAAAAAATATTATTACTATCTTAGAAGAAAAACCTTGAACTGAACGTTGTGACAATCCATACAAATTAAAAAAGCTCACAGTTGACTCCAAATGTAAATGGCTTTAATGCCAAAATGATGTCAATCAATGCTATAATGCTAAACTCAACAGTCACCAAATAGACTCTGATTCCACCCAATAAAATTTAACCTTGCACGTCAAAAGTGTAGTATATGATGACGTCGATAAAACAGTACCTTTCTAGCTAGCTGCTTCCTCTGTTTTTCACGCCTCTTGATTTCATCCATAAAGGGAAGCAAAGCATCAGATGGAAGAATACCACTCAAGTCAATTTCACAAAGCTGAAACAGAAAGCTACTTTTAAGAATGACACACAAAGCAAGATCTAAAACTGAAAATGGAACAGGCAGCAACAAAACCATACCTGAAAAGTTGTTGTCAAGGAAAAATGACTTAAGTATCGATAACGCCTCCGCACTGCCTCAGACTGAGTGACAGTTTCCAATTCTAAAATCCTTCCACTTACTCTGAAATTCAAGAAGTTATAGTTAACAAGACTAAACAGAAACACACTTTCCATCAAAAAGAAAATGTATTAATGCACTTTTTTTAACCATTTGGTAAGGAACACATAGAACAAAGGCAAGTCCAATAGTTCTACAAGCCTTATTAGCATGCAAACCACAAAAAAGATGGCACCATTAAAAGTAATTTTTCAAATGGTCCTTTTTTCTTTCAATTCCCATTCAATAATTCCTACATATTTAAATTTCATTGTCCCATATCTTAATATTCATGGTAGTCAATAAAGCATTTCCTCAAACCTGTGTGGCAAAAAATCATAGTTTCCATAATGGTGTAGAAGACACTTCACGTTTAAAGGATGGAGAATGATGTGCTGCCCATCCACTGCCTGAAACAGATGAAGTGAAAGAAAAGAAACTACAAAAAGTATACATTTAACAATGTTTCTAGCTTTCGCTTGCTTAAGCATCATACCATAATTCATGATCACTGGTATAAGCAGATACAAATGCTTAAGCTTTCAAGAGGGCAACATCATAGAAAAAGTAAAACCTAATCAAGCTAATTAGAACAAAAAATCCCTCAGAGAGAATAATAACTAATATATATATTGTACTTTACTAAAAAGGACCATAAAATGTCATTTCCTGCTTAATTGAATAGGAAAGTGGCCACAGGCTTAACTCCAACAAAATAATTCATAAGTACAGTGCCTTGAACAGGTAAATATTTAGAACTAAAGTGGCTAGGACTTATGCCATCGTTCACTATCAGCAGTACCAAACGAGGCAAAAGCTAACAGTCAAGAAGGCAACACATGGAAATAAACCAAACCTATGCAAGCTAATTACTACAGAAGATCTCTAAAACAGCATAATAATTGTATATGATTTTATATGATTAAAAGAAAAAGACCATAAAAAGTCATTTCCTACTTTATTGAACAGGAAAATGGCCAAGTAGTGAACTCCCGTTAACTGATTCACAACTAAACTAGCTTCCTTTCCCAGAAAATATGAAATTGCAATAAGAAAGGAGAAATAAAGAATTAAAACTACCATCTTAAATTATAGTCACCTGGTAGAAATTGTAATAGTCGTTGTTCTTTGCATCTTTGGAACCTTCTAAGCACACTTGCAAATTCTTGCTTTCTTCATTTGATAAAGATGAGTCTTCGACTTCTACAGATTCAACTACAACAGCACTTTCATTCAAACCATTCCCTCCGTTTGACCCATCTGTTTTTGAGTTAAAGATACACATATTGTTCTCATCATCCCCAGAAGATAACGTTCTCCCTCCAGAACTGTGCATATTACCAGTAGCTTTGGAAGCATTTAAAGTAAATCTATCAGACTCCACCTTACAAACAGTGTTTATACTAGCTTTATTGCTATCAGTGGCTCGGTGCTCCTTCCAGTACTTCTTCCTCTGTTCTAATTGTTCCATTGCAGCACAAACATACGGAAGCTTCTCCAAATCATCAACAAGCCCTGAATCTGCTCTAGCCAGCCAGCTGTCTAAATCTGATATAGCTTGTCTGACCGACAGATCAACATCTGAAGTAAATATAAACTTTGAAAATGGATCATACATGTCCTCTTCACCACACTGCATGATGCTTGTCTCTTTTTTACTTTTCTGAGATGGCACAAATGAATCTTTTTGCCGCGATAGAAGCATAAACTCTATCGTATTGCCCACGCAACATTCTCTAACATTCTCAATATAGATGGTGTAAAGATCCTTCTGGGATACCATTACAAAACATAAAGGGCACCTTTTGAAGCACTCGCGTTTCTGATCCTCCTCGCCCATGAACAAGTATTGCAGAATACACGGGAAGCAAAAAATATGACCGCATGAAGTTATTTGTGGGCATTGGGGATGTTCCAAACAAATTGGGCACTGCACCGGAAATGGGGTCGAATACCTCACACAAACAATATCCTCCCATAGTAAATTCTTATCTGGATCCATCAGTTCAGGTTCAGGTGCGTAATTTCCAGTATCCAACACAACAAACTTAAAATTTGCCTGAAGGAATAAATCTTTGTTATAAGGCTTAATCTTTCGCTGCCTTCTCGGGGGAGGTCCCCGTATTTGCGGACGAGAGCGGACAATAGGGTCATAATGAAAATTCAGCAAGTCGTTAAAATTCGTCATCTGAGTTCTTTTTCCTGCCGGATGTGTAGTACCCTCATGAGCCACAGTGCCTTGATTTCGAGTAGAAACCATGTCTTCGGACATTTTCCCTCTAGAATGAGAATTAGTCCTCCTGTTTCTGTGTACTGAAGTCCTCTTAGCATTGGACGTGTCTACTTCACTCAGCTGACCCTAGCAGAAAAGAAGGTCAATTTTAACTTACTAGAAATAAAGAAAGAAACTTTTACATCTCAAACATCATATATCTTCGATTCCAATATTTCATGTGCTGAGTTCCCAAATAGTTAACAAAGGCGCATACAAAACAGTTGTAAAGTTGCACCATTTATCACCAACTTTCGTAACAGAAACAGCATTCAGGAGGGTAAAAAAGGGATCCAAAAGCTTTAGTATGAAAATTTTACCCCTTTGGAGGGTCCAGCTGAAACGTGTGCATCGGAATCCAAGGTGCCTGCCATAATAATAAAAAAAGAAGAAGCAAATTTTATGATTAGAAGCTTCAGATTTCAATACGAAGTTCTATTACGACCTAGTACAGCACTAAAACAACATAAAACGAGAAACCCAGATTAGGATCCGAGGAAGAACTCAAACGAAGGGAAAATTGAAGGAGGGGAATACCTGGAGGGGACGTTGAGAGAGACAAGGGAGGAGGATCGGAGATGTGCAGAGATCCGAAGGGGATGGGAAGAGCGGAAGGAGGAGAGGATTGGGGGCTGTTGTCATGATTGGGATAAGCGTTTTGAGGGACAGGTTGAGAGGAAGAAGACGCTTTGGAACCTTGAGCTTGTGAGGGCAAGATGGACATGAAAATCTTCAGAGCTTCGCTTTGGGGGGATATGTGGGAGCGTGTGTTGCTCGGCGATTGTTTTTGCGTATTTAACCTACGGCCTTTTCACGCATCACATTATTATTTCTGCTCCAAATCCCATTCGGCAAAGTAAGAGAATCTACCACATCTTGACCGAATCCAGATTTGTATACTGTAAAATTACTTCAATACCCTTCTCATCTCTTAATTTTTATTTTTGATAAATATCAAAATTACACATGAACTTTTAAGTCAAAGGTGCAATATAGCATATGAATTCTAATTTTATATGATATATTCATAAATTAATAAAATTAGTACTATCACTTTACATTGAAATATTGTGTATATAAATAATTATTTCTATTTAGTCCTAGTCATAAATATATTATGATTTCTAGTCTCAATAATGCGGAAGCCATGCATCATCATATACATTGCATACATCATATAATAATAACACTCAGTGTTATAATAGTAATTGGGTACTAATATAAAAAGGAAAATTCGGTGTTATACAATTCCCATCAATTACACAGCAAATGATCTTCCGATCTCAACATGACTATCGCGTATAGATCATAGTCTCATATGCATCTGTAAATTCCTGCTCCTAATAGAGTTGGTTCGGTATCACCATAACAGAAATGGGCGGGATGGATGAGCATGCATGGCACGTCAGAACGTTGTCGCAGGATGATCAAAGGACAGTGGGGAAATTGTTTATGAGATCATGGGCGATTTTTCCCAAAAATCACCTGGCCAACTTTATTTACTTGTTTGACATTCTTTCATCTTTATTTACCGATCTAACACCTTTCGCAAGAAGGCGCGGCCTATGCACCGTGCCTGGTTACTCTTCTCCCCCTCAGACGCAGGTTCGAATCTCTTTGTGCGCATCGTTGTTCTTCTATTTTCCATTTCAATTTGGTGGTGACACGTGTCACCACCTGATTGGTTAAAAAATCATTTAATTAAATAATTTAAAATTCATAAATAAAATATTACAATCATGTATTGACACGTGTCATGGTATAATTAGATAGTTAAATTTATTTAATTGAATTAAAATAGTGACTAAATTGATAGAATATGTAAATATTAAAGACTAAATATATAATTATGCTAATTTTATTAATGGACACGTCACCAACTCTGTTAAAAATTAACGACCGTTGGTTTGATTGAATCAATTAAATAGTTTGGTGGTCTGATCGAGACAAAAAATAGTTCGGTGATCACATTGACTTTTGACCCTAGTTTAGTGGTATCCAGTATAGTTTACCCTTATTATTATTATTACAATGTTGGTTCCGAGTCTTACGAAAGGACCCGACCTCCAAGCCTTGGCTTACGCCCCTTGCAATGAAACAATTTTCATAATAAAACTGCCATTGCCACTTCTCTAGTTTGTTCCACCATTTTCTTTTCTGGTTTTTGCTCACTTGTTCAATCTGCAGCAACATGTTCAAGGCCAGGGCCAATGACATCAAGAAGGAAGTGGTTCGCTTGGAGCGTGAATCCGTTATTCCCACTCTCAAGCCTAAAATCATCATGACTTTGTCCAATCTCATTCGTACGTACCTACATTCTCTTGTAATCGACACGTTTAATGGAATCATCTTTGAGATTCAAACTACTGTTTTTTTTTCTTTTCACGTGTTGCAGAACATAGTACAGATCGGGCTGAGTTTGTGAAGTTCTGCAAGCGAGTCGAGTACACGGTTCGAGCTTGGTATCTTCTTCAGTTTGAGGATTTGATGGTAACATAAACCTTCAACCATTTTGTATAACTTTAGTTTACGTTTGTTTATTATGTTAAATAAACGAGTATGAACAAAAATTTTATATTCATTTAATAAACGAACAAGAACAGAGGTGCGTTCGATTGTTTATGTTCACAAACAAACTCGTTTATTAGCTCGTTTACGGGTCTCCTTTTCTGTTACGAACAAACGAACAAACACAAACACTTTCAAAAATAAATAAATGAACACAAACACGATACTAAAAAGTTTAAACAAACATAAACTCTTCCAAAAACAATCAAACAAACACGATTATAACTTGGTTGGTTCAAGCTCAAGTTCATTTACAACCTTACTTGTATGTCTTTATGTTCTGATTTCAGTTGGAATTTTGTTTTTTAGCAATTATTCTCCCTCTTCGACCCTGTACATGGGGCTCAAAAGTTGCAGCAGCAGAATTTAACTCCTGCTGAAATTGATCTACTTGAGCAGAATTTCTTGACATATTTATTTCAGGTATTCTTCTTGCTTCTATTGGAACAAAAATGAAATTGCACAAATTCTTGAAATTCCCTTGGTTTGGTGTACAGGTTATGGAAAAGAGCAATTTTAAGATAGTTTCAGACGATGAGATTGATCTTGCCACTGCTGGCCAATATCTTCTTAATCTCCCCATAACAGTTGATGAAACAAAGGTCATCTGCAACTTCATGTGTTATGCAAATTGTCTGCTCAAATTATTAATCTTTCATTTGAAATACTGCAATGTGTATTCTCTTTTCTTACATCATGTTTTTTTCTTACTGAATTCAGATTGACAATACACTTCTAAGGAAATATTTTGCTGATCATCCCCGAGATAACCTTCCAGATTTTGCTGATAAGGTTGTGAATCGCATCATTCTCGATAAAATCGAACATATTCGAAATGCAAAGACTATTCAGTAGTACCATATTTGATTTCCAAGTATTCAGCTTGAACACTGTCTTTGTCAGGCTAAGTATGATTCTTTTGTGTCTAGTACATCATCTTCAGACGTGGGATCGGAATTGATCGAACAACTAATTTTTTCTACATGGAGAAGGTAGACATAATCCTTGCACAGCTTTGGGCACTTCTTATGAAGAAAACTCGGTGAGTATGTAATGGACAGTCATCTCCTTATATCAGTGTTTATGGCTTATTCTTGGTGAATGTATCTTTCCATTCTGTTGCTTTGATGTAAGTCTGAAGACTTTTGGAAGTGTTCCTTGCAGGTTGGGCAACATTTTCTGCAGAAAATCAAGAAGGGCGCATAAGGAAATGCCAAAGAAGGATGAGGACCTTAGTGAAGAATTCTATGTCGAGCGCATCGGTCTCGATAAAATGGAACTAAGGTTGTTATCTTGGCAAAACAGTTTTCATTCATGAACACTATGTACCATATTATCTGGAGCCTAGTGTCTTTCATGAGAATCTTGAAATTTGCTTTAAATCTTTATATGCTTCTGGTGTTGTAACTTTCTTCTTTCAGCATTCGGAACTTGATCACCAAGACTACGATTCAGGAACCGACGTTCGAGAGGATAATTGTTGTTTACAGGTACTTCCATTGCATCTTATCATACAGGTTTCCAATTGCATCTAAAAAGTATGGTGAACTTCCAGGAAATCGAGTCAAGGACAGGAAAAGGATCGGGGCATACATGTAAAGCATTTCAAACATATTCCTATGGCAGATCTGGAAATAGTCCTTGTGAGTCTCCCTTATTAGCTCTTTTGCGACTCGAAGTCGTTATACGACATGGTGATATTGTGCATCATTGTACATTTTGTATGCTTTTTTAACAGCCTGAAAAGAAGAATCCTGGATTAACTCCTATGGATTGGGTCACATTCATTGCCTCTGCTGTAGTGGGGCTGGTCAGTTAAGCAATTATCGTTCTTGCTCGTTTCATCTTAGGCCCCACTGTTTCTTACTGTATTTATATTGAAATGGAAAGCTCTATTCCACAGGTTGCAGTGATCACTTCTCTTGAAACGCCTAAAGCTGATCTGTGGGTCATTTTTGCTATTCTGTCAACAGTGGTTGGTTACTGTGCGAAGACTTACTTAACGTACGATTTTCGTCCATCTTCGATTAAATCGTATACACGTTAAAGCATCAGGGGCCTTGCTTGATTGTTTCTTGTATCGCCGTACAGGTTCGAAGCGAACATGGCTGCATATCAGAACCTAATAACACAGTCCATGTACGAAAAGCAACTCGACAGCGGAAGGGGAACTTTGCTTCACTTGTGTGATGATGTGATCCAACAGGAAGTAAGCTGATTTCTTTCTCTCAATTTCAACTAGATTTGCCTGTCAAAACCAATGAACATAACATAGTCCATGTACATAATGTTGTGTGCAGGTGAAAGAGGTGATCATTGCATTCTTTATACTAATGGAGCAAGGCAAAGCCACCGCCAAGGTACGATGCATATAGGGCATGAGGATCGACTTGAAGAGGTAAAGAAGTTTATTGCATAATGTGCCTGATATATGGATGTAGGAATTGGATCAGAGGTGTGAGGAACTACTAAAAGAGGAGTTTGGCGAGAGCTGTAACTTTGATGTGGATGATGCACTTGCAAAGCTACAGAACTTGAAAGTTCTTACTAAGGTTCACACAGACTAGATGGTTTTACATAGATAGATAGATAGACAGACGGTATTCGTTGGTTTTGGTCTAAGTTGATGAATGTATAAAATGGTGTATGAAATGCAGGATCATACTGGGAAATATGCCTGTGTGGGATTAGCGCGTGCTAATGATATAATTGGTGTGACCACTGAAGAAGTAGTGCTCAAGGCAAGACAGGGTGCCATGTCATCTTGATTTGTGAACATTTCAGCCTTGGTAAGTTTGTTTTTTATTATTACAAAATCAGTCTCTAATGTTTGTCTAAACGTCATTTTGGTACATATTCGTTTTTTTATGGAGTATTTTAGCTCCCAACGTTTTAATTTTCAGTCAAAATACCTCATATTGGATAAAAACCGTTAATTGATTAACAAACGATTCATATTGTTGACATGACATTTATACGTGTGTTTAATTGGTGATGCGGCGAATGCCACATCACTACTACAAGCATTAGAAAAATACGGTAAGAACAAATTGAAATGTCATGAGCTAAAATGCCAAAATGATCATTTAGACAAATATTAGAAACTGATTTTTCATTGTGCCTTTTTCTTTTTTGGTACAACTCACACACCCTATGGCGGGAGCAAATTACGGTCACACACTCACAGACTACAAGTAGATAATTCCAGCGGTTTGAATCTATCATGTAGGTTGGAGGGCTGAACGGCCATGGGGGCTCGTATTGGATTCATTGTGACCTGAATTATTATTATCATTGATGCAGCTCAAAACTGTAGCACTAGGATTATGCAACTATTCCTTTTTCTTTTGGTTTCAGTGTTGTTGCATTGGTGGCGCTCAGTTTTTTGAGTTAAATACCAAGTAATTAACAGCATTAAGAAGCATGCTTTTTACCCTATTGAATTGGAATTACGTTTATATAGTTTATTATGAAGTAATTATTAGTATTGAATTTTAAGTCTTCACTAGGTAGCCTCCTTCCGTCCATGCAAACACTCCGACAGTATATCTGGCCTTGTTTTCCGTCATCATCACCCGATGATGAGGCGAAGACAATCGACCATTTCGCCATACCTACAACGACGGATTCAAAAACATTTTTAATATATATTAAGAAAAAATACATCATTTGTTCTCTCTATCTTAAACCGTATCTGTTATGTCATGACAAAAGACTTACACTAAGGGATTCTCCGATGATCACAATTAGAGAGTTGGGTGAAGGGCTTATATTCATTCATTTCCCATCTTTGCTTTGGATCTCCAATCCATCGACCTCGTTTTGATACAAGAGAGTAAGGATGTAAAAAGCTTACCCGACCTGTAAAACTGACTGAAACTGACTCGAGTCAAAATTGTTTTTGACCTGTACTGTGGCGATCTGAAACCGACTCAAGTCGGAATTGGTGTTGACATGAACCCGATTTGGACCTGAAAATTGTGGATCCGAACTCGACCTGCATCCGACCTGAGAACGACCTGAACCCGAATTGAACCGAAAATATGATACCCGAACCAGAACTGCATCCGACTGATATGTACTCGAACCCGAGATTGACCTGGTAAATAACTGGTATTACCCGACCTGTTTTCAACCTGACCTGTAAATGATCCGACTTGTTAATGACCTGATCTAATATTTATTTGACTTATATATTACCATGGAAATCTTATAAATTATCAGTTTTTTAACTTATGATATAATTAAAATATTAATATGATTACTTTTTAAATGTTATAATAAAATATTTATTATGATAATTATATTAATAAATTTACCTATAATATAAAATTATTTAATAAAATTAATAAAATTATTTAAATGTAAATTAGATAAAACATTATTAATAATGCAAGGGAAAATTAATATAGTTTAATTTATATAAAGAAAAAATAATATTAATAATAAAAGTATTTATTATGTAATATATGTTAATGGTTTACATTAATAATATAAATAATTTTGGCAATAAAATAATAATTAATTTGATAATAAATGAATATTAGTATTAAACGTGATTAATTATCTAAAATATAAATATAAACTATACCGCTTAATTTTTGTACAAAAAATTATCTAACAATTATAACATAAATGAAAAATAATATAAGTATAAACTATATCGTTTATAATAAATTATATACTTTATTACTTTATATAGTTTATATATAGTTTATGCATAGTGTTTCTATAAATTGCATCGAATTGAAAATTTAAGAAGATATTTATAATTAAACCATGACTAAAATGAAAGAAATTAAAAATCAATTACAAGTGAAAAAATTATGATTGTTAGAGGAGCATGAGCCTAATTAACTCAAAATATCTTGTTGGACACTATATTTGGCGTCAACTTCCCAAATTTTTCTATTCCCTCTAAATTCTCAATTTCCCTCTAAATTCCTAATTTCCCTATATTCTCAAAATTTCTTAATTTTCCTATAAATTCCCAAATAAAATCAAAAAAACCTAAACAACTCCTAGCCGTCCGTTTTGTGTGGCGTAGGAGGAAAAAATTTTGACTTTGGTTTTTGAAAGAATATAAAGCACTAAATGTTAGCCTAACCTTTTAGGTTATGTGATGTCACTGTTTCATGGCTAAATGTATCAACAAAATCCAACCCTTGGATCAAAAGTATATCCAATGGCCAAGATTTGTCTTCTCCAAGAAAACTTCAAGCTTCATTAACATCTTATATATAAATTCTAATTATTTTTAATTTTTCCTTCTTTCTTTAATGTGCTTAATTATTAAATGTTAATGCTAATTTTAGAATCTTTTATTTTAGTCACTTATGTTTAATTATATATATATATATTTATGTATACACTTATATATATATATATATATATATTATTCAAGTGAGTGGTAGGAGAAAATTTTTAAAAGAAAGATTTTATTGTGAAAAATTTTGATTTTATTTGGGAATTTAGAGGAAAATTAGGAAATTTTGAGAATATAGGAAAACTATGAATTTAGAGGGAATAAAAAAATTTAGAAAGTTGGCGTAATATAGTGTCCAACAAGATATTTTGGGCTAATTAGACTCATGCTCCTCCAACAATCATCATTTTTTCACTTGTATTTGATTTTTAATTTCTTTCATTTTAGTCATAGTTTAATTGTAAATATCTTCTTAAATTTTCAATTCGATGCAATTTATAGAAATACTATGCACAAATTATATAAAGTAATAAAGTATATAGTTTATATAAACCTTAAACCCTAAAGCATACCCTAACCATAAACTCTAAATCCTAAACCTTAATGTATGTATAAACCATGTATAGTATATATAAACTATATATATATATATATATACCTATATATATATATATAAACTATATAAAGTAAATTACTTATATAGTTTATAGAAATACTATGCATAAACTATATAAAGTAATAAAGTATATAGTTTATAGAAACCCTAAACCCTAAATAGACTAATGCATACATATATATACTATATTAATATAAATTATAACATATAAACTATATGTTTTATATAGTTTATACATATATAGTTTATATATATATATACACTATATTAATATAAATATAAATAATATTTTATAAACTATATACTTTTTATAGTTTATACATATATAGTTTATATACATAATTTATATATATAGTTCACATAAACATAATTTATATATATAGCTTATAATAATTATATAGTTTATAATATAAATATAGTTATAATTTTATATACATAGTTTATATATATAGTTCACATAAATATAATTTATATATATAATTTATAATATAAATATAGTTTATATATAATTTTATATTATATGTATATATTATATTTTTTTAATTTTTTAAATGAATGCAAGTTAGTATATTTTTCATTTTTTCTTCATATTGTGCATTTATTTCGATTTAATCCTTTTATGTTTTTTAATTTATTTAAATTTTAAGTCTTTCACTTTTATATGTATTCAATTTAGTCCTTAAATTTATATTTACATATTCCATTGTTAGTTGTTATTTATTTATATTTTTGTAATTGGCCCATAATTTTTTAAATGTTTTTAATTTAGTCTTTTTTATATTAATTTAAACCTCACATTTTAAATTTATTTTGATTTAGTCTCTTACCTATGTGTGTTGTTTAATTTATATTTTAAGATTTTATTTGTAATTTTACATTTCTTCAATTTTGTCATTAAATTTATATTTTTTACAAAATTGATCATGAACATTTATTTTTCTCTTAATTTACTCGAAATCATATACAATTACAACTTGCGATTCAACAATCACAAAATATGACAAAATAATTAATCCAAAAAATAAAAACGACCCGACCTGAACTCAATCCGTATCCGATAAACATCCGACCTGAATTTTATCTGTCAATGATGTGACCCAATCTGAACGAGATCCGACTGAAGTCCACTCGAACCTGAATTAACCTGGTCTTTATCTGCTTCAGACCTGAGTTGTTTTTACCTGAACTGACATCGATCCGAACTGAAAATGACACGATCTGGATCTGGTGTCAAATCAACCTGAAAATAACCCGAACTAATTTGACCTGACCTGAACCCGATCTGAATCTGATGTTAAATCAACCTAAGTTGATATGTACCCGATTTTACCCGACCTGTCAAGATTCGACTGAAACATGTCCGATTACCTGATTTTACAGCCCTACAAGAGAGTCAGCATATTCTGGTCATGGTGCTCAACTAGCCCGGCGGTTGGCTTGCTGGTGTTGGACGCTTCATAAGCTGATATTTTGTGGAGTTAATGAGCTCATCCACGTATTTTTCAACCCCAAAACTCTCTGAAATCATCCTCATAATTTTCTTCTCTAGTTCCATCACTAGCTGAGCGAATGATACCAATGTTTTACTGCAAAATCCAGAGCAAAACAAGATCAAACGATATAATTTTGAACGGATACTATCGCCAGACTATTCAAATGAAGAAAGAAAAATCCTTTGTAGTTTGTATCTAAAGCTTGTGTTTCCTTGAGGCCATAAAGGGGTAGTGAGCCGTTGTTCAACGTTTTCAGCAATATGCAGATCATCAGCCGATATGCTTTCATACGATATCGGTGGTGCAGACGCACGATAGCCACGAAAGGGCTTATTCTGAAACTTGAATTATGGTAAAATTACTCAAATATTATATTTGAGTTTTTTTTTATATATAAAAAGTGGTTAGTTTTATTAAAAATAGAAAATATTTAATATTACAATAAAAATTTAT